AAAATATAACAAAGAAATGACTACAAGTAAAGAGTTACACTTAATTTTTTTTTTTCATATTGAAGACAGGCTGATCTTAGATCTCCCAAGTCCATAATAAATGTCTGTTTCCACAACCAGCCTCTTCCTCCAATCCCAGCCTTTAAACTCCATCTCAAAATCTTCATTGATTTGGGAGATAGAATTGGAAACAGTACTCAATCCCCTGTGTATATCAACAGTGTTTTTTTAAACACATAAACATGAATTAAATTTTTAGGCATAAAAAGAAATCTCTATAATTAGAAGAAAAAAAAAACAGCTTTAAGAGATCTGTTGTGTCAATACATCTTTACTTTTTGATTGGTAAATTAAAAAATATATATATAGTTCTCCCACTCCAGGCAAGGTGAAGTGTAACTTCAGTGACAGATTAGAGGGAAAAAACTGACATTTACTGAGTCCTTCGTATGTGCCAGACACCACTCTTGACATTTTCCATGTATTTCTTCACCTAACTCTCACTGTGATCCTGTGGAATCGGAGTTATCCTCATTTTACAGATGAGGAAACTGAGAAAATGAGGTTAAAATAACTTCCCATGTTGTTTGGTTAATAAGTGGTGGAGGGGTAGGTTTGAAGGCAGGGTTGACCTAGTCCAAGAGCCATGCATACCCTTAAATTTAAGTTACTCTGACTTGACATTGCTCAAAACCAAAGCATTTAGCTGTTTCTGTTCTCTAACTTGTCAAGACTTTGAAAAATGTCTTTTCTTTAAAAGGTAGAACACTTTTAGCAGTATGGACCAACTTTTCTTAGTATTTTTATGAATTGTTAACTGGAGACATTTGAATTTGGAGTTGGAACTGAAATGTTCTGTAGCCCTGGAGGAGATTAAGTTATCATTTTAATGAAGTACAGAGAAATGTTTTTTATCTGTAAAAGGCAAGAACGTGTTTTAAAACTTTCAACTAACTCTTAGTTTTATTGACTAAAATTTCAGGGGGTAGGTATTTTATGTTTACGATCTTGGTATTAACAATACTGTAGGTCAAATTCAGTGATATGTGTTTAGCATTTGTCTATGGTTCTCTTAACCTCAAGGATTGTTGAGCTGAGACTAATTTCCTCAAAGGGAGAAAAAATTCCAGGTGCAAGTTGAGACTTTGCTGCTGGTTTTGGGAAAGGTGGCTCAGATTTTAGCAGTAGCAGATGCAATGCCAGCATAGAGTTGACTTGCTCTAGGTCTCTTGGTTAATCAGCAGGGGAAAGATTCAAACCCAAGTTCATCTCACTTCAAAGTCCATGTTTTTCCCACCACATTCTGCTTTATTATGTGAATACAACTTTGTTTACATTTACAAAAAATTCCTAATTCTACAATACCTATTTGAAGTGGGAGTGGGGTGGAGAGGTGGGGATGGGACATAAATTGTTTAACGCACTAAAAAGACATTCAGTTTTCTTGTGAGGAGTTTCATGGAAGAAGAGTTACTTGGCAAAAAGGTGGAAAAAGTAAGTGCCTGTCTTTGTTTTGACTCTTTCTTCAGCTCTTCCCTTTCTTGGATAATGGACTTGGTCCCATGGCTATGGTGAAGATCTCTGGATGCTCTTTGTTAAGTGCTGGTTGGAACTTAAACAGATTACTGGTCAATAGTCCCATTCATTCTTACAGGGTGACAAAATATCATTTATGTGCAGCTTTGCTCTTCATTTAAACTTTTCACTCCAATCTGCTCTATTTTGAAGCAGCACTTCCTCAAACAGGCTAATTAGCCTTTTGTTTGTTTGTTTGTTTTTTACTTAACCCAATTTAGCCCTTTTACTTACTACGCAATGACTCATAGGGTTACCTTTACAGAAGTGGGACAAGGCCAGAATTACTGCCCCCTCTAGTCACTTTGTCTTTGTCCAACCTTACCTCTGATGAAGAGAGTCTAAGGACAAAATGTATCAAGGTCACACTGGGAGAGATCAACAACATTTGCAAAGATGTCCTTTTGCTTTATAAATGAATACTCCATTCTGAAAAAATTGTGAGCATCTAGGTTAAATGGAGCTCATTAGCTCAACCTCTAAGGATGATGTCAGGATGCAGAGAAGAGGAAGGGAAGAGATAAGGAGATGGGATAGACAGGGAAAAAAGGTGCTTAGGTAAGTTGCAAAATTACTAAGGCAACCCTGAGGAAAAAGTAGAGGAATGTTTGCAATTCCTCAGAACTCTGAGTGTCTTAGTGGTACCACTAGAATAATTGGGTCCTAGTGATGATGCCCTGAACCAGTCACCTCAGGGTCTTTCCATATGAGAATATGTCTTTGCTGAACAAACCAGCATTCCTAAAATAATGAGACTGAGAATTTTCTTAAAGATTCAGGTCTTGCTTTCATATCTGGTCCCTACTTTTATCTCTTCATTTCACTCATATTTTCCATACAATGCTCAAAAATTTCAGGAACCCAGTTGGGCCATATTCTCTTGCATCTTACCACCTTGTACTTGCTTTCCCCCACACTAGCAAAGCAGTACCGCCTTCTCTCCTCTCCACTGGTCTTAGTCCTACTCATCACCAAGACTAAGGCACTACGTCACAGTCTTAAATTTGTTTCTTCAGACAACCCCATTCATCAAAACTGCATCAGAGGTCCCATTTGTTTGCTTCCTAAGCTTCCTATAATTATACATATTATAATACTCATCCACTGTATTGCATTTGCTTGTGTAACTAATTGTCCATATTCTACATTAGACTGCAAACTCCTCGAAGTCAGAGACTATATCTGACTTAAAGAGTATTCACATCTCCTACTCCAAGACCTGGCATTAGCAGATAATCAACATATATTAAATAAATAAGTGAACAATCAAGTTCCTAAAATAGATTTTAAAAGAGTAAATAATACATAATACACATAATAATGTACATAATAAACATTTACTTTGCTACAGAAGTTGATGTAAGATTTTATTTTTTCTTTTACTATTGTAAGCTCCCTTCCCTTTCCAAGGGAGTCCAGACTCATCTCTGAGGACCCACAAGGGACAGAGAAAGAAACTTCATTGAGTCATACAAAGGTGGTTTTGTGTTCCAGTGTCCTGAAGAAAAGTCTTTTCATCTCCCCTTTGTAAATGTGCTTTTAGACCAGGACTAAAGCTCTCAGCTCCACCACTACTTAGATATATGAACTTGGAGACGTTATTGAGTTTCCTCATCTGTAAAATGAGGACATTGTTACTTATCCCATTGTTGTGAGGATTAAAAAACACACACACAGTCCCTGATATCAAGTAAATTGAAGTTATATTTAAGAAGTTAGTTGGGGTCACTATACAAATCTTTCAGCAAAGGAAGTTCTCTCCCCAAACCACAAGTGTTCACATTCTGAAACATCATTACTCTTGGCCTAATTTTCAATAACGTTTTTGTCAAGAATTTAATTTAAATCCTATATCAGTATTTAAACTAGGTGCTTCCTCAAGCATTCTAGAATTCCATAGATTTTAAGACTCTGTACTCCAGATTTCCTATCCAAAATGGTAACGAACCCTAATGCAATCAGATTTTGATCTGGAGCTTTAAATTCTAGCAAATCATAATTTACACTGATGCTGTTTCTATTTTATTATATTATTGCATTACATGCTGAAATCTGGCTCAACTTCGTATTTCAGAAACCAATCTTTTATCAAGAATCCTCTAAGGCAAATGAGATTTTTAAGAAATAATTTTTGGTGGAATATCTTTGCAGTTTGGAAGTCAACCATCTGACAAAAATGAAAAATACAAGCCATGACTCTTGGGGTAGATGGAAATTCACCAGCTTAAAAGTTAAGCCAGGAAGTTTACGTATATGAACTTTATGAGACAGGTGGATGTTATTAAAAACATTTTATAGATATGGAAACTGGAATTCAGAAAGGTTAAAAGCCACACAAAAATTAGTGGCTGAACAAGGGTTTAAACCCAGATGCTCTTTCCACTAAGTATATACTGCTCACTTTTCCATTACACACCACCTCATCCCACTCCAACCAAGTAAGCCCAGGGAACCACATCCTGGAACATAAACAATTCTTCCTTTTACCACTTGAGTGTCTTTGAACAGCATCTCTATATCTAGAACACGCTGTTTCCCTTCACCCTCCTTTATTAGAGTCCTCTGCACTTCAATACCCTGCTCAAAATACTTATGGAAGATTCTGCCCTTGTGCCCTTGTTGGAATAAATATCTTGATACCACTTGTCTGTTCTGTAACATAGCCTGGTCCTTATATTGCTTTCTTATTCTGACAGACCAAACTCTTAAAAAACAAGTACTTAGTCTTATCCATCTATAGATGCCCACATTACTCAGAAGTTACTTGATAATATTTATGATACTGAACTGAAAGCTATCCCCTTTCACTCTGTCAAGCATGCATTAGAAAACCAAATCTTTTGAAAAGTTGTAACATGCTCCCTGAAAGTGGTAATGGTTCCTGGAAACTTTCCAAAATGCTTAGAAATGGACTTCTCGTAAAAGTGGTTGACTAGATTACCTTCTCTATCATTACAACATATATAAGTTACCTAAAGAAATGACTGTGTCATAAAAGAACAATAACAAATGACCTTACTCTGACCTACTGCAAGATAGGACTATGATAAAGTTATTTATAAATAAAAAGAACTACCACTGACAATAATGTATCAAACTGAGAAGGTTGAATATTTAAAAAAGTATTTTAAAACATTTTAAATGAAACATGTTTTCAAAAAAATCAATAAAATTATTTGAAAAGTCAAATAAAATTTCAATCACGCTGAAAACTTAGTAAGAAACAAATCACTAGGGGAGTCAGATGACTCAGGTCTGCTCTCAAAGAGTGGGCAGATGGTTGCATATTGTGGAATTTCCTCTGACATGATGCAAGCATGAGGGTGCACTTGTTCCCTACTCTTACTATAATATAAAAAGCCATGGGAGCTCCCCATCTGACACAGGTCCTCTGGGACAGCAGAGCTCACAACCGTCTAGGACAAGGGTCAGGAAGAAACCAGAAAGACAACGCCTTGTGTAAGCATGACTTCCAAGCTGGCTATTGCTCTCTTGGCAGCCTTCCTGCTTTCTGCAGCTCTGTGTAAAGGTAAGCACATCCTTCTTATCTACAGAAGTTTGCTGCGTCTAAATGTGATCCTCAGAGAGAAAGATTATCCTTAATGCCTCAAATAACAGACATCTTTTTATTCAGCAAGAGAAAACCATCTTTGCAGTCATTTAATGTTAAATTGAAGTCTTTAATTTTTTAGGCTGTATAAATATAATATTTAGAAAATTGTAAAGTTTGATTTATATAGAGTTCTATTCCTATCATTTATACTCTGTAGTATACATATATTTAACATAAATCTGTAATTTAGAGTATGTTTTATTCGAGGCCGTATATACCCATTTTATCTTTTAATACCGAGTAAAAACGCAGGTAATTTTACTCCATGTACTATTTAATTGACGAGCTTCAAACAACCATCAATTGCTCTTTGGCTTAAAGACAGATTATAAACCTTATTGGGATCCCTCTTATGAAATAAATACAGTTTAGAATGTTTATGGTATATATAAACATTTTATATGGTATATATATATATATATATATACTTTTAAACATGAAAGATTTTGCTAAAATATAGGACAATCTCTGTGCAACTCATATTTCTATTAATTCTTCCTGAAGGCAATTTTCCTGTTGGTGGATCTTGCCTACCATGAATAACATTGTGGTATCACAGAAGATTATGCAATGTCGAGTAGGAGAAAAAGTACCATGAGGATGTCAACATTGCCCAAAGACAACTCCAAGTGTTTATGTCATTCAATGTTGTCAGGAACGACTGTTTTTAAAACAAAGAGAAAAACTGAGGTCAGGGGCTAGGAGAATATCCAGCCATCAATTTCAGGAATAAGTTTGCTAAAGATGTGTTGTTTCCCAAACACACAGTCACCAAATGATCGCACTGGAATTACCAAGGGCAAAGCTAGCTGAGCTATGCCTGTTAATGAAATCAATTCTTAATTGCTTTTTTCTTTTCTTCACAGCTGCAGTTCTGTCAAGAATGAGCTCAGAACTTCGATGCCAATGCATAAATACACACTCCACACCTTTCCACCCCAAATTTATCAGAGAATTGCGAGTGATTGAAAGTGGACCACACTGTGAAAATTCAGAAATCATGTAAGTAATTTCAAAAGTGATTAGATATTTTACTTTAGTAAACCTAGAATTGAGGAAGGTGGAAGAATCCAGCAAAGTTCTAGGTACTAGGAATACCTAGTAAGCAAAAGAGAAGGGGAAAATTCTTTGTCTCCATGGCATTTAAATATTGTACCTTCCATGACTCATTAGCTAAAAATTAGTTTGGACTTAGATTTTATGCCTGTACTTAAGGAACCATGACTTGAATGCCAAAGGGATGTTGGAAACCCATTAAATACTGATTTTAATCATATCTCTCTTATTTCAGTGTTAAGCTTGTCAATGGAAAAGAGGTCTGCTTAAACCCCAAGGAAAAGTGGGTGCAGAAGGTTGTGCAGATATTTTTGAAGAGGTAAGTTGTTTTTTTTTTAAATTTAGATTCTTCATTTATCCTGTGACGTACAGTTCAGAAGTCAACCTATAAATTTCCTGCTGCTGCTGAAAATTTTCTTTTAAGTATCTGCCTCTTTGATTTAAAAAAAAAAATAGCAGCAATAGTGAGTTTATTGTACTCATGACTGGGAGATCATATATCTCAGTTTGTCCAGGGAAGTGTGGGTATATACCTGGGTCCTGTGTCATTAGTATGACTCTCTCTCAATCTCAGAAGTGTTCTGGTTTACATAACTTATCTGATCTCTCTATTTGTAGCTGAAAGTATAGAGTATTTCTAACACCTAAATATCTAAGACTCTCTTAATGTCTATATTAAATATATTTTCAAGAGCCATACATTCCTCATTTAGAGCATTGCTAATTTTTAAACTTTTTATTTTATTTTATTTCTTTTCAGAGCTGAGAAGAAAGATCCATGAAAACAACAACAACAACCAAAAATCCATTTGTCCTTGGCTTCCGAGAATTCCTCAGTAAAGATACCAAAGAAACTTCAAACAAATCTACTTCAATGCCTCATGTACTGTGTAGGTCTGGTGTAGGGTTGCCAGATAAAATACAGGATGCCCAGTTATATTTGAATATTAAGTAAAACAATGAATATTTTTTTCAATGTCCCACATACATTGTTCCATGTAGGACACACTTATATTTTAGAAATTATTCATTGTGTACGGTAAATTCAAATTTAGCTGGAAATCCTGTTTGTCGTTTTTTTGTTTTTTGTTAAATCTTGCAACCCTAGTCTGCTGGCCAGGATTCACGAGTCCTTGTTCAACTGAACCTCAGTTTCTTCTTCACTCCCAAACTGGAGGAAAACATCTCAGCCACTAACCTACCTCACAGAGATGTGAGGGCATGTGGAAGCACTTTAAATTTTATTCAGTTATGTAAATTATTTTGAGGTGTAACTTATTCACCTATTTATTATTTATATATTTATTTAAGCCTCAAATATAGTAATGTTTGTGCATGAATTTGGAGAAATGGGAAAGAAGCATTGTTGATAAGTATAATGATGGTAGTGAATTTGTATTTATTTTTTATACTAAATGATGTATTACAGAACTACTTTGATCAAGGCTGTTATATTATGATCACAGTGGCCAGATTTAGCGAATTAATAGAAAATAAAAAAACACATCCAGTTGATTTTTCTTTCAGATAAACAATAAATAATTTTTTAGTATAAGTACATCATTATTTATCTGAAATTTTAATTGTGTTGGCAATCCAACTTTTAATATGCCTGGTCTGGTCTTGTCACTGCAAGCCTTATTATGCAGCGCTGTGTTAAATCACCTGAATCCTGAGTTATGACTATCTTTCTCAAAACAGCAAAAATTCACCAGGGAATATGAATAAAGTAATTTTTTGTTATTTCTTATTTATTTATTCTGAACAATTAGATTCTCATAATTTTATTTAAATTTTTGTGTATTTTAACATCAACTTTATTTTTTACTTTAAGATGCTTTTATGTGTTCCCAAAGAGACTCTTTCTACTGTTTTTGATAGTATGAAAATATGAATGTATCTATAAGACATTTAAAATAAAATTAATTGTCAAAATCATGAGGGGTTTGTTTGTTTTTCTTTGGTAGTTTTAAGATTTATTGTATTATTCATTTATATTAAAAATCATACTTTGATTTAGAAAACTTAAGTGCTTTCCCTTAGTATTTTATATATCATGTGGAAAATTACCAACATTTATTTGTAGAAAAACATAACTCCTTTCCAGAGATGGATTACAATCAGTAGTCTCTTCCATAGAATCATGGAAATATTCTCAACTCCCTACTGTATACCATTTTGCTAATAAGGGTGACCAGGTTTTCAACAGATAGCCTAGGTGTCTGTACAGCTTAACACATCTGGGCACTCAGTGAAAGCAGGAAGAAGGTACACATTGTAAGGCACTTCTCAGCTAATTGAGGAAAACTGTACATCTGAGGCAAAGAAATTTTAAATATGATTAAAGACAGAGCATATTTGAAAACAAATTAAACAAAACTCTTAAGTAAAAACACAGTCTAACAAAAAGCTCAGTGGCTGAGTTTTCTAACAGATTTGACACAGCTGAAAAGAAAACTGGAAATTAGAAAATAAACCCAAAGAACTTTATCTGAAATTTAAATCAGAGAGATAAAGAGTCAGTAAATTGGAAAGAAAAATAGAAAGAAAGACATAGAGGATGTCCAACTGGATTTTTACAAGCAGATCCCAGCTCATTTACTATTGCTGTTGGGTATTTTAAGTCTATGTTTTTATTTTTAAAGCTCCACCATTTGGGGTGAGGAAGAGAGTGCGCTCTTAGTTTCTCATTTGTTCGTTCACTTTGCAATCTACTTTTCCTATGCCATTTATCTCCTTACAATCGCTCTGGGTACCTGCAACTGCGTTTTCTCTCTGAGTCAACTTTATCAGTGGTGTAGAGCAAAGCCCGTTCTCTTCTAATTCCCAGTGCACGTTAACACAAAGGTGTGCAGCATAATAGAATTAATAAAAGATTTGAGAGTTATGCACAAACAGGAACCAACTGAAAATTCAACTCCTGTAGTTTCTGTTCCTAGAAACATTGCTTCCCTCTAGAGTTAATTTCTCCCTGCTTAGAGATCTTCTCTGGTCCCGCTGTGGGGCCTCTTCTTCCTCAGAGTTCTGCCTAAATTTCATTTCCATATTCTTTTCTTCAAATTCAGGTTCTCTTGTCCTACCGTTTTTGTAATCATCTTGTGGATCTCATACACAGTGAATAAAAAAGATAACAAACAAACAATTTAAAAAAAATGATGATGGGAGAGATATAGGGTTCTTCAGAAGCAGATAGCAAGGAGTTATCTAACCTAGGTAGCCTAGGCTTCCCTGACAAAATATAAACTAGAGTCTGAAGGATGAGTACGAGTTAGCCACACAAAGGGAAGCAGGGCTTGTGGGGAAGAGTGGTCTAGAAGGCAAAGGGAGAAGTAATTTGTGTGATTTGAGAAGTGAAAGAATATCAGTGTGACACGAGTTTGGCTTGAAACAGAACAAGTACTAACAGATGAAGCTATGCTAAATGGACTGTGGAGAGCTCTAAAGGGCTTAGATGTGGAATTGAAAAGTTCTACTGGATTCCGATTACCTTCATTTTAAATGGTGAGCATTATAAGCTATTCTTCTTCCTGGGTTTTCTTCCAAAAAGAAATGGGAAGCCATACAAAGCAACCCAAAAGTCTGATCTTGGGGGCTTTTTAATGTCATTTGGGGGTTGAATCATCAGAAAACTCCCAACCTTATATAAAACCTCTTAATGTGTTAAGTACACATCCTTAATATGACCAGTGTCCAACCCTGAAGGCAAAGTAAAGGCATCTGCACCAATTTGATGAATCTTAATAATGATACTTTAAAAAATCTACCTCTTAATTCCATTTTTATCACTTTTAAAATATGCCAAATGCTTTTCCTCACTCTCATCTATATTAGCACTGTCTATAAGACAACAAAGCATCCCACTGAAAAGACAATTAAGTGGATCAAATTGAAGATTAGGCATCATGTAAACAAGCCAAAAAGGAAAAATGAAAAAGAGTAAAAGAGAGACAATGTGAGAACAAGAGTGAGAGAGAAGGAAAAGCCAGTAAATTTGTGGAATTGACAATTTTGTTTTATTTTGTTTCAATGATATTAGTAAAATATGTATATAGACACAAGATTTATTTGTATAGACACAGACTTAGACACAAAATTGAGCATGCAATTTATTACCCTATACATTTAATCCATTTGTGTGGATTACAAAATACAAATCAAATTTTTCCAAGTAGAAACATGAATATAAATATAGAGATACACACAATAAAAAAGTATGGAGAGATAATAAAATGTTCACGTTAAAATTGAATTAAGTGTAAAATACTATAACACATACATTGTACATACAACATACAAATCAAGTAATTTTTATAATTGCCCTTTTTTTGCTAGATAAGCATCAGAAAATAGATTCATAGGCTGAAGTTGCCTAAGCAAAATTTTTATTCTCAAGATTTTAGTAAATAAGTATCAATAGATAATTATTTTTACTGTAATAGATCTATTTTGCCATTTTCTTCTTCAGAAGAAAAACTATTTTGATTTTTGCTTGTGGTAGTAATATAGCTAAAAAAAATTGCTTAAGATTGTATTAACTCTGCAATAACAAAAGAAAGCTTAGATAACGATTTCTCCATTACCCACTTAAAAAGATAGTCAGAGAACAATTGCCTCAAGTGTGGTAACCACCTGCTGAGTTTGCAAGGATCACAGACAACAAATAGGGAATTTTTCCATGTAACAGAGTAAATAGCAGCCTTATTATTTCCCACAAGATTTACAGATGGGACAATCAGAAATTCTCCAAAAGATTACTTAAGGGTCAAAGAACCTAACGCTTAATGAGTAGAGAAAGAGGGCTTTCTATGCTCTTTGCATTCCCATAGATAAAAATCAGTTTGGATAAATATCATTGTTACAAGACTTTTAAACATTATTTGGTTAAATGACAGATGGACTTACAATCATAGCATGCTGAAAAATTAAGATGGGGAAACATTCGTAGATATTTCCACTCAAAGTTTGCTTCAGACTTTATCTAGAGGAATATTCTAATAGCTTTGTAAAAGATCATGGTGCTGGGGCTGAAGATAAGCTTTTAATGTATCTAGCGATTCTATTTCATAGGGCATGGTTTAGCTCATGTTTTAATCATGTTTTGATGTGATTGTTTCCACTGTCTGCATCCTAAATTAATCTTTTGCCATTCTTCCCATGCTTTTCAAAATGCCTTCACATTTATATTTTCAGTGTTCCTCTGAATAAAACGTTTATGGGAAAGCATTCTAAATGTAGATACCTCTGCCTAGATTTACTTCTTTATGCTTCCACATGTATTCACCATGACCCTTTACAGGAAGCCCACGTAGAGACATGTTTTATTAAAGTGACTTGTTTCTTCTCAGGTCTCAGAGGTCTCCTCAGGTCTAAGAGGTCTCTTATAAACTTATAAGACAAAGTTTATAAGAGCAAAAACCTCAGACAGTTTTCCAAATAGAGAGTCTTGTATTTTCTTCTGCCTAAAGTAAGTTGATTGGCTAAAAGCTATCAAAGAGAGGATGCTCCCCTAGGTAGGCTAACAGAATTATTAGAGAGGACAGTTCTACTTCTGCGTTTTCTGGGAAACCTTGTTATTTGCAGCATGTGCATGAGACTTGTATCTCTATGGCCTTATGTTGGCATGTCCACCCTAGTTAAACCAGGTCTGCACTGTTTCCCTCATGATTTCTTTCTCTCCCTCTTTTGACACAGTTTGCTCACTTGGATGTTGGCTCAGGATCATGGCTGTGTAATAACTTTTAAACACTCGGATATCAGAGAGCAGAGGAGGGCAAGAACAATGAAGGCAATCACAAACAGCAAATATTGTTAAAAGTTTAATAAAAAAAAATGTCTTATGGATCAATTAAGCTAACCTTAGCTACTTAGGTGTCTTTTCTTTTAATTGATTGATTGTTCTATTCTCCCTGAAGGGTTGATCCAGATACAATATATATGTATTCATTATTGCACAGACTCCACTTGGATAGCCAGTATATAGTTGACAGTAATTTAATCAACAAACTATGCTGGTCAATTGGGCCTCTAAAACTTGAGCTATTTAATTTTTTATTTGAGCCATAGTGAGGGATAAACTACAGCTCACAAACTGTAACATGTAAATTCACAGCCAAGGTAAAAGTCCTCCTTTTTTTTTTTTTTTTTTTTTTTTTTTTTTG